GTGCCAAATTTAAGGTCCAAATTGAATGCTTGGAAGATTTAAAGACTGAATAAGTACCTGCTACATGCCAGGCACTATGCCAAGTATGGGTGACACAAATATGAATGTTTCCTGCCATCTGATCCAGACACAAAAGCAAACTACTAGGAGTTAAGGTGATCAAGGCTCTAATAAAAGCATTTGCTTTGGTAAGCTGGAGACGTGAAAACGGAGAGATGCAAAACTAATGAGAACAAAGAGCATGTGCATTTACAGCAATAAATATATATCTCATTGTTTTGACATTTGTACAGGAGCTTCATGTATTCTGTAGTTCTCACAATTCCCCAGAATGTCAAGGTGTGAATAGCGTAGCCCCGAAGCGCCCCAGAGGAAACAAGGCCAAGTGAAGTCACACGGTTCAGCGGCAGTATGTGGGATGAGATTCTACTTATCAGTCACTTAACAGTGTTTTGAGCCTTCACAAAATTTTAAAAGGGAACAAACTTGTTTTCCAGATGCAATGGAGAGAAAAGAAGTGAAAAAAGAGGTCTCAGAGACAAGAGAAATAAACCACACAGCTTGTACAGCCATGCTTTGCAAAACATGGGGGTTTCCATAAAGAACAGAACAAAAGATGGCCTTAAAGTATTTATTTTAAAAATAAAGCAAAAGAGCAGGGAGTATTTAGAAGAAAACTGAAGGTTTCATAGAATTATAAGAATGATTTCAATTCCTTTATGGCCATTCTTGTAACAATTATATTTTGAGATATTTCTATGCTTAATTGACTAAATTTAAGGGGCTTATAACAATATGTACACTTTCTACTTTAATTGTTATTTAAAGACACTTTACAATGTTAACATAATTATGTAATTAAAATCTTGGTTTTTCCATTACCCTTCTGGTTTTTCCAGTACATCAGCATTTTTTAATTGTTTACATACTAAATGGAAAAGAAATTTTGATAAGACAAACTCTATGCACCATAAAATATTGTCTTAAATGAGAAATTCAAATGTTTTTTAAAAATAGTCAATTTTTAACACTATTGCAGCAATAAATGCTATCGGGAATAAAACATCGGATAGTGTCAATTTATCACTCAGAAAAATTAAACACCAAAGGCCAGAGAAGTTTTTTATGGAGCATTATTCTAGTAATGTAAGAATCTTTCTTGTAACTTTTAAAATTTGTACATTATACTTTATGTTTCAGCTCTTCTCATGCAATCTTTTGGCGCACCAAGTATCACTCCCATTTAAAAACACTATAGTATAAAAACATGTTTAATTTGCCTTGAAGTCTTTCAATAATAGGATAGACAGGCTGGGATTACAGATTTTTCAATCCCAGCACTTTTTACTTTATAAGTATCTTTTTCTGTGATCAAAACAAAGCAGGGGAGCTGCAAAGAGAAGCCCCCTCGTTGTTCATTGCCCCCAGGTTTTCACTGCGATGGCAGGTTGTATGCCCCAAAGATGGCCACAAAATTCTCTCTCAGCCTACATTTCCTCTGCAGTATGACCTTGCCAGTCTTGCATCAAAAAGTAATGGGTCTATCTTTGTACCCCATTTGATCTAGGCGGGCCCTATGACTAGTTGGACAAATAGAAAATGGCAGGAGTAACACTGGGCCAGTTGGGGCTGTGACCCTACAGTGACCTGGCAGTTCCTGCTTCCTTTCTCTTAGAAGCCAGTTGCCATGTGAGAAGTGCTACTCCTCTGAGACCACTGTAGGATAAGAAGTCCAAGCCACAAGGAGAGGCCCTGGAGAATGAGATGCCACATAGAGAGAAAGAGGCCAAGAAATAATGAGTGAAGAAGCCATCCTGGATGGCCAGTCCAGTTGAGCCTTAAGATGACTCCAGCCCCAGCCAGTACCTGAAGGCAAAGGCATGAGAAACCCAAGTAAAGAACTGCCCAGCTGAGTGCAGTACACCCACAGAACCTTGAGAGAGAATAATAACTTGTTGTTTTACCCACTAAGTTTTTGGGTAGTTTGAAGCCCAGCGATAGATAAATGATATAACTGCTCTCTCTTATAACAAAATTTCTCCTCCAGGGTTTGAGATATGGGACCACAATCTTGCCTCTCTACTTTCTCCTGGTTGGTACTTTTCCTCCGTGGGGAGTAAGTTACATAACACATATTCAGTTACTCTACCAGGGACAATGAAACAAAGTGTGAAAAATTTTGGACTTAGCGTTCTACACAATATCTGCAATACTGGATTTGGTAATAATAATAACTTACACTTTAAAAATTATACTTACCATTAATGGAGCACTTGTATGTGCCAGATATTCTTTTAGGCACCTTGAACACGCAAAGAAATTCAATACCCATGACATCCCAGTGAGGTAGTATTCTCATTTTGGCAGGTAAAGATATTCTAGAGGTGAAGTAACCTATTCAGTCACAAAATTTGCCACTGGGAGAGCCACGATTTTAGAATGTCTCTTCACAATTCCAAACTCCAAGCTCTGAACCACACTTCACTATACTGCCTTCAAATCTCTATATTTTACAATGAACTTCTTAAATAATTTTTCAGATGGTATATCCCTAAATAGGATGCTGACATCTTTTTTTAGAGCAACTTTGTGTTGTACCAGCTTAAATGTAACTTGCCATGTAATTTTTTATCTTACGTATTTATCTAACTTCGCTTTCTTCAGAACAGCCTTAAGGAAGTCATTTCATTTGGATACAGAGGCATTTATAGCTGATCAAGTTGGGAGGACTGGAGTCTGGTTGGTGGGGAGTGGGGAAAAGAGGAGAAGCATTTGCTTTCCCACACACGCCCTTGCATAATTCTCTTTACGTTTCTGTGAGGAAAGCATTATTATGGCACCTATTTCATAGACTACCAAACTACACTCAGAGAAGTAAAAGGGTTTGCCAAAGGCACCTGAACAGTGGTCTGATCCTAAAATAGTGCCCTTCCATCTTTACCACCCCTGCAGCCTAGAGGCACACAGTTAATCCATTTCCTCCTTTAGGACACTGATCCACACTTGGATCATGCTGTTACCTCTGTCTTTTCTAATCTCATTCCTAATATTGCCCTTGATTCCACTCCCGGTCCAGCCTAAATCCCTTCTCTCTCCCTTTCTCTCTCTCTCTCACCATCTCTCTCAATTAGACCTCAGTGTATTAAGGATGCTAGAGCACTTCTACAATGTTATCTCTGAATCTGAAGAACCAAAGAATTACTGGATTACTTTGTGCAACATTACAAGGGTAATGCTGAAACGTTACAGACCAACACTAGAATTTGCAAGGATTATAAATCCGATAGCAAACTGCTATCGGATTTACAATCTGTAAAAATGGAAGTTTGGGAGCCGGTCCCATGGCAGAGTGGTTACGTTCGTGCTCTCTGCTTCAGCGGCCCAGGGTTTCCCCGATTTGGATTCTGGGTGAGGACATAGCACGGATCATCAAGCCATGCTGAGGTGGCGTCCCACATACCACAATTAGAAGGACCCACAGCTAAAATATGCAACTATGTACTGGGGGGATTTGGGGAGAAAAAGCAGAAGAAAAAAAAAAAGAAGATTGGCAACAGGTGTTAGGTCAGGTGCCAATCTTTAAAAAGAAAAAAAAAAATAGAAGCTTGGTGCTGTAGGTCATGCTGTTCTCAATGGAAATATCAATTATTCCTGTACATTTCCTCTCTGTGAAAGCAAATTATCTGGATCTACTTTTGAATAAGATGCATGTTACTTTCTAATTTTACTGTTTCTATTTGCCAGTCTTACTTTGAGTTTTCACGTAAATTTGAGTCCCACATGAAAAAGAAATGTACAATGAAACTGAAAATCCGTTCTGGAATGTAATCAATTGCTTTTCTAGCATTGGTCATATGCTGCACTTTTCAGCAGGAAATGGTAAGAAATATGACTCAAAACTTAAACAACTCTATTACTGCAAAAGGAAATAAGAAACTTAAACCAAGACCAAAGTTAAAGTTGAAATGAAAAAACATAAATTTTTCACAAATGATTGTTCTTATCTTTCTAAAATAGTTCAAGACTATAGCAAAGTATTTCAATGAAATTTCAGTGACCAATATTTTGAATAATTGAATTGGTGTTAAGTAATTATTTAGAAAGCATCTTCAGAAACTTAAAAATATTCCTCTGTTCTAATGTAAAATATCTTACTTTTGAGTAGAAAAGGAATGTAGAACTTAGGAAAGAAAAGTTCCTATGGAGTTTCTGTATTCCCAAGGGACTCACATAGTGTCAGCCCATAATTCTACCATGAGCCCGAAGCCTGTTCCTCAACACTAAGAAGGAGGGACAAAAAGAGCACTTTTATTTTCTGCTCTTAATTTCCCAACCAGCTGCCATTTCAACTAGCGCTGATGCAAATATAACTAAGGTTAGCAAGGGTTTCCAGAAATTCCAGTTGGAACAAACCAACCGGACTTAAGGAAGCAATTTAGAATTGCAAGGTCACCAGGAATAGTTGGAGAAGTACTATTAACTCTTACTTTTGTAGCATTTTATGAAAGTAAAAATGGAAATGATGTTGTTCAAGAGACTTCAGTGTTGCTATTCAAGTCCACTCAAGGACATCTATTCAAAAACATCAGAAGCTATGGTTGTTCAGCTGGACAGCTGAGCTGCTTTGTCACCGGCCAGCTTGAAGGTATAGCTACGAATCATGTAAAAACTGTAAATAGAACAATATCAGCAACATACATAATGTCTACTCGCCCTCTGTCTGACTCTCGGAAGTCACTCAAAAGAATGCCTTTCAAACGACATCCAATATTTCCTAAGGAAAGTTTTTAGATACTGACAGGCACTCACGCATCTCAGCAGGAGACATTTGGTTTCTGGCTTCTGTTAGATAACATCTTAGCCTGTGATCACAGACCACAATTCTGCAGACTTCCTCCCAATTCAATCGTGAGTGCTGAAAAGAGAATGTGTAAATGCCTGTCTTTCTTCTTACTAAGGTTTATGCACAGCTCCCCTATATTCTCAAATATTTCACTCACCACTCAGTTAAAATCCCAAAAGTTGTCTCATTCATATTACCTTCCTCTGGACTTTTTGTAGGATGTGTTCAGAGCAGTTGACTGTGGCTCTGAAGAGGGACTCTAGCTTCGTCTTGTGATTTCTCAGTAACTGAGGTTAACACTGTCCTCACCTATCTTTTATAGCAGCAGAGTGATAAGAACTGCATGTTCCCACCTGCGTCTAAGCCCAGGGATCAACAGTAAATTCCATCCAGTGATTGAATGGTACTTCATGTAATTATATGACATCAATTTGATCTTATCTTGTTTCAACTCTTAGATCATTTTTTGTTTTGAGCCATTTTCAGGCGGTGGTGACCACAAGGTCAGCCTATGAAACAAGAGCACGCTGTCATTTTCTACGTAATTTTATCGAGATTTACACACAACATCCTGAAAGTTGACTCTTTCCTATAAACAAGACCCTTTGAGTATCACATTTAATTAGCTAAGTACCTGATATTTACTTATTCAGGGGAAGAGCTGTAAATTTCAGATAATAGATATAGAACATTTCCAGGCTTACAACATTGTTCCAGCAGGAAGCAGGAAAATAAGACACATGACCATTTAGACTTTTCTAAAATTAAATGAGCATTTGGATTTAATAAGGATGCACGGAAAAGGTATGAGGTGGTTCTGAGGACTGATTGGTTCTCAATATTTGTGACTTTTGGGGTTTTTTTCTCATTTCACTTTAGTAAGCTCAGTTTCTTCCTAAACAGAAAATACTTGTGTTAAGAATTGCCTGCTGTGGGACACTTAATTTTAAGATTGCCAACACAGTATCTCCCTAAAACCCACCCAGCTCCTCAGATTACGACTGTGACTGCTTTTATCCACACAGAGATTGTGATCCTAAAAAGGCTCCTGTCTCCATCTACTCTGCTCAGTGCATTTCTGTAGGAACTGGCTTAGAAACTACCAACAACCTCCCAAGAGGAGAGCTGAGAAGGCCCCTGTGATACAAAAAGTAACTCTTGTGTAACAACGGAAGAAACTGACCAAAGAAAGCCAAGTTGTCTGTCATTTATTAGCTGTACTAAGTTGATTTGCTTCCATTTTTACACCTTTTCAGATTTCCATTATCTCCTTCCAGTGGTTTCTCTCAATATCTACTCTATCCAGTCACCTTTTCCTGGTGACAATTGATGTCACCATTATTCATGAGTTTCTATCACTCAAATCTCAAAGGATTGGCAGTATATCTTCAAAGTAGCAGACTTATTTTGGAAATCTGGAGCCTTCGAAGTTTCAGGGGAAGGAAACTTTGAGGTCTTATGGAAAAATTCCTTTTCCTCCCCCCTCCCTCCCAGTCAGGCATTTCACTCTCCTTTATTCTCTTCTCTTCCCTCTCCTGGCCCTTCTCTCAATCCTTCTTTCTTTTTTTATCTGGTTGATTAAGTAGAAATGATCTTTCTTGTGTGCTCTTACTATTCTTATTTGGTTTATGATTTAGTAAGAGGTTTTATTTTTATTTCATATGTTCCTATGTAAGAATTAAAAATATTAGGGGATTCAAATGAATGTTTTTAGAGTGTTTTTAAAATTTACAGTATTTTTGTATTTTTTTATACATGATACGACAAAATAAATTATACAAAAGAGTAGTCAAAACAGTCCCCTCCACACATGTGTGACCTCTCCCCGTCTCCAGACTCCCAACTTCCCCACTCAGGGGTAACACTTCCAACTTCTTATATATAACAGAAAATACATGTGTTAAGAATTGCCTGCTGACTTTTGTCTGTGCACATGCATAAGTAAATTATAAGTGACTCCCCATCCTTGTCCACGTATTCTCCTTAAAATGATCAACAGGATACAGTAGTCCCCCATGATCCATGAGGGATACATTGCAAGACCCCCAGTGGATGCCTGAAACCATGGATAGTACTGAACCCTATGTATACTATGTTTTCTCCTATACATACCAGTGATAAAGTTTAATTTATAATTAGGCACAATAAGAGATTAATAACAATAACTTCTCTTTGGCATGTTTGAATTGCCAGCATCACTACTCTTGCACTTTGGGGCCATTATTTAGTAAAATAAGGGTTACTTGAACACAAACACTGCGATACCCTGCCCATCAATCTGATAACTGAACAGCTACTTAGTGACTGACGCACAGTATGCTGGACAAAGGGATGATTCACATCCTGGGTGGGATGGTATGAGATGGTGTAAGATTTCATCATGCTACTCAGAATGACATACAATTTAAAACTTATGAATTGTTTATTTCTGAAATTTTCCATTTAATATTTTTGGACTGCAATTACCCATGGGTAACTGAAACCTCAAAACTTGAAACCGTGGAGAAGGGGGCACTACTGTACAAAAAATTGGAGGAAACTTTGCATTTGTGTTCGTAGTTTAGAGAAATTGTCTTTATTAATATAGTATAAATTATACTTCTTTATACTTTCTAAAATGAGTCTATATTACTTTTCATTATAATTGAGGAAATTAATTTTTAGTTAATTTGAGAAATATAATTTTTAATTGTAATTGGCTAAAGTACTGTTAAAAAAGAAGCAACAGGCCCAAAATGGAGTCATTTGCCCCCCACGGCAATAAACCAAAACTTAATTGCAGTTTCAACCCCTCCCAGAAATGTGACCTTTAAAACAGTCAATCTGAAATTTCCTGATAATCTGAACTATAAAATCTCTGCTGTTTCCTTCCCCTCGAAATAAGATGACCTCACCTGAAGCAATCCTTTCTTTTCCTTTGCTAATAAATTCCTTGCTCCACCGTCCTTCCAATAAAAACTTTCCACTCGTACATCTACTCAGAGTATCTCTCTGCTTGCCGGGGGAGATGCCATGCAATCGAATCGTTGAATAAAGACAATTAGATCTTCAAATTCAGTCGATTGAATTCTGTTTTTTTTTTTTTTAACAGTACTGTTAACAAAAAGATGTTTTTATATAGCTGCTTTCGTGTATTCCTGACCCTTCTATCCCATACCTGATAGCCCTGTTTTCCTCCATCTTAGGTAACTGGTGGGGCTGGTAGGTGAGAGAACTAAAACACTCCTCACTCATTGCAGTTCCCTCCCAGGTGCTAAAGTTTGGAGTGCCCATTACCAAGAAGGTAGACTGGCTGAAGACACTGGGATGACGGCAACCAACCAGCCACCTTCACTAGATGAAGTCCTCAGAGCACGTCATGCCACAGAGGGTGTGCAGGAACGCCTTTGCCTGGCAGTATGACACAGTGAAGTACACGTAGACTATGTCAAATGAATGAACTTTTCCTAATGAAGTTTCGTTGTTTTTTCTTTTTGTGGAAGATTAGCCCTGAGCTAACATCTGCTGCCAATCCTCCTCTTTTTGCTGAGGAAGACTGGCCCTGAGCTAACATCCATGCCCATCTTCCTCTACTTTATATGTGGGACGCCTACCACAGCATGGCTTACCAAGCAGTGCCATGTCCACACCCGGGACCCGAACTAGCGAACCCCAGGCCGCCAAAGTGGAACATGCTCACTTAACCGCTACACCACTGGGCCAGCCCCCCCAATGAAGTTTTGTCACTTACACACTGAATTTTTTAAAATAACCATCTTTGTAAATGTTTCATATGCTCAGTTGATTTGTTTTATTAAACATAATTTGATCTTTCTAATAGCAAAGTCTGATTATCACAAACATTTTGCTGTAATCAGAAGAACAGCTGAGGTATGTAAAACCCTTGTTTTTTCAAGTAGCTTTTTCTTCAGTAATTTCAGTGACACAGTACATGATTTTAAATTTTCAAGCAATACAAGAGTATACATACTGAAAAATAAGCCTTCCTCCTACCCCAAAATCTTCACTTCCATTCCCAAAGGTATCCATTTTTAACAATTTCTTAATGTTTCCAGAAATTGTCTAGTATATGCACACATTTTCTGGGGTTTTGCTGAAAATGAATAGAAACATAATATACACATTGTTTCATATCCTGCCTTCTTTCCTCTTTTTAAGTGTAACAATGTATCTTGGTGGGTTTTTCCATATCCAAATATGCAGGTCTAATCATATTTTTTAATTTTCTTTTGTTTAAAGATTGGCACCTGAGCTAACATCTGTTGCCAATCTTCTTTTTCTTTTTTCTTCCTATCTCCAAAGCCCCCAGTACATCGTTGTATATTGTAGTTGTAGGTCCTTCTGGCTGTGCTATGTGGGACAATGCCTCAGCATGTATTGATGAGTGGTGCTAGGTCTGCGCCCAGAATCCAAACCGGTGAAACCCTGAGCCACTGAAGCAGAGTGTGCAAACTTAACTGCTCGGCCACGGGGCAGGCCCCCCATGGTTTTTAAACAGTACAAAGTATAATGGATCATTAATTCTTTAACCAGTACTCTATTAATGATCATTTCCAGTTTTTTTTTTTTTACTATTACAAACAATGCTGTAATTATCATCCCAGTTCTGGTTACATGTACAATTATAGCTCTAGGATACATGCAGGATCAAAGACTATGTGTATTTTAAACTTGTATAGGGTTTGCTCAAGTGCTCTTCTCTACCCCTCAAAGACAATGTGATGAAATATGTTAATTTTTGTGAAATAGATCAAAAATAGTATCTTATTTTCATTTGCATTAATATAATTTTGCTCAGAATTGAATATCATCTCATAAATTATAGGTCATTTATGAATTATTTTTCTGTGAGCTGCCTATTTAAAAATCTTTCTCAAGTTATTTTATTTTTAATTTTAAGCTTGACTTTTGACTCATATATTTTTATTACACCATAGTTTTTATTTAGTCAAATATGTCTATCACTAACTTTAGGCTTGTTGGTTTTATGCATGGCCAAGATACTAAAAAGAAGTATTTGTATTTTATTCTAGCATGTATACAGCTTTATTTATTTTTAGCTTAGATCTTTAATTCATCTGTAATTCATTTGGAGGTGAGGAGTGAAGTAGAAATTCAGCTTCTTTTTAAATCTAAATGGAAAGCCCATTGGTTATAACACCATGTAGGGAATAATCAATCTTTTTTTTTCTTGACTAATCTGAAATGCTACTAAACTCCCAAATATTTTGAGGTCTAGTTTGGTTTCTATATTCTGGTTCATATTAATAAAAAATATTCAGTAAATGATAAATGTT